ACAGACACCACTATCCACTACCGACTGACACTGACTGTATACAACTGAATGAAATAATTGTAAAAACATCGTTCTAAATTCTTTCGCTTTTTTGTTTCCGATGCGATGAACCGATAAGGCGAATTATATCCGTTGTCGCCAAACACGAGCACATAATATTATTATTGAGACAGGGCGGTACTCGAACTTCCAAAGGGCTATAACTTTGTTACTTTAATTTTACCAGAAAAATGGTAAAGGAAAAAAACATTTCTTTTGATCAGATCTACTCACTGTTAAAATAAATGACTCAACTTCGAAGTCACCCTGTATATGTTCATAGTATATAATGTACTCCTTCTTAATGCATTCCTTACAGCTACTGATGCATGTTCTTATGCTAATCTTTTGTGATGTCTGGTTGCAGTATGGTTGAGTGGTAGAGTAGCCATGGCTAAACTTCGCCATATCATGATCATTTTCTGAGTAAAGACATTATTATTATTATTATTATTATTATTATTATTATATAGAGGGTGTCGTTTTAAAATACCTGTTCACAGGCAATATATATACTATATCAAACTCCCTTTTTGCTGACAAATCGTAATAGGCTTTAAGCCGATTTCTTATAAAATTTGTTGGAATTGGGCAAGTAGAGTGTATTAATAAAAATCATCCGAAAACAACGCTTTAATCAAATTGTCATATTGATATAGATAGCCATATTTATATCCCTCAAATTTTATACCTAGTAAGTTTAGGATTTATTGCCATAGTTTTATCATTCGATTTAATCTAGATTTTCGGCGAGTTATTATACAGGGTGACTTCGAAGTTGAGTCATTTATTTTAACAGTGAGTAGATCTGATCAAAAGAAATGTTTTTTTCCTTTACCATTTTTCTGGTAAAATTAAAGTAACAAAGTTATAGCCCTTTGGAAGTTTGAGTACTGCCCTGTCTCAATAATAAGATGTTCGTGTTTGGCGACAACGGATATAATCCGCCTGACCGGTTCATCGCATCGGAAACAAAAAAGCGAAAGAATTTGAAACGTTTATCACGATGTTTTTCGTCAGTCGATAACGCTTTTAGTGAATAGTAGTGTTTGTTGCGTGGCTCAAACGAAATCAAAAATGGCACATGTTTACGAAAATGCTGAACTTGTGGACATGATTCCTATTTACGGGGGGGCAGTCTTTACAAAATGCTCCCGGATGCATCACGGATTTATGCGAATCGGTTTCCCAATCGAGTGCAACCAACCCCTCGTGCCTTTGTTAATGTAGTACAAAGGGCTCGTGAATCAGGTGACTTAAGACCTCACAGGTCAGGGCATGCTGCTCCAAGACCGCACGATCAAATACAGGTCCGCACTGAAATACTTGTCGGGACGATACTTTATTAAACAAGGTAACATTTTTTTTTTATTTATTTTTTTATTTTTACACACATATTTTGGATTATCTTCCTTCTACAATCACTATCTGAAAATTAATGACTCAACTTCAAAGTCACCCTGTATATTAACAAAAGAGCCGAATAATTTTGCTTGTTGAGGTTCTTTTAAAAACAACTGTTTGCAGTTATTATGACATTGAAACGTCATCAAACTGAAGAATTACACAAAAACCTTGTGGTACTTGTACTCTTATTTTAATTATACTAAGTGACATATAAATCTGAACACCCAGTTTAAATGGTTTTATTTTAATAAAATTTTGTATAAGTACTTAATGAAGCATAATAAGTAAATGATAAAAATTTCAAAATGATTGCACTGCTTTAAAGCCCTTTGACGTTTAATAATGTGTGGATGCACCCTGATGTGCTACGCATTCTCCAACGCGCCTAGGCATGCTTCTGATCAGGTGGTCAATGTCCTCCTGTGGTATCTCATTCCAGGCAACCATCAACTCCTCTCGAAGTGCTTCTAGAGTCTGAGGAGGACGTTGCAAATTGAGCAATCTCCTACCCATCATAACCCACACGTGCTCAATTGGGGATAAGTCGGGAGATCTTGGTGGCCATGGTAACAATGTGACATCATTATGTTGAAAGAAGTCTATTGTGACTCTTGCAACATGTGGTCGGGCATTATCTTGTTGGAAAGTTGGATCTGCCAGGGTGTCAAGATAGGGTAAAAGATGGGGTTCTAGAACTTCGTGGATATAACGCTGTGCGTTCATGTTACCTCTGATGAAGATTAAAGGTGACCTGGAACCATAAGCTATAGCACCCCAAACCATAACTCCAACAGTGTGATGAACATGTCTTTTCAACAAAAAACTGTGGATTCCTCCACGTCGCCTTCTAACCCTGGCATGACCATCGTGCATGCCTAAACAAAATCGAGACTCGTCACTAAAGACAATACTGTTCCATTCCTGATCCCAGAGTGACCGTTGTCTGCACCACTCAAGGCGACTACGTCGGTGTGCTCGAGTTAAAGGGAGGACCCAGTGTGGCCGGTATGAAAACAAGCCAAAACTTTTCATTCGCCGGTAAACACTTCGCATGCCAATAGGTCTTCCGTGTTCTGCAAACCATTTTTTTGCAATGGACCTGGTAGTGGAGAAACGGTCCCTTAAGTCCAATAATCTTAGGCGGCGATCTTCACGGTCTGTTGTTCTACGGCGGCGTCCAGTGCCCCTTGCTCTTTGCGTACGGCCTTCTCGAAGCCATGCCTGACAACACCTAACCACAGTGTCTACACTTCTTTGCACTCTAACTGCAATTGCCCGAAAAGAAAGTCCAGCTTCCCGTAGTCCCACTATACGGCCCCTATCAAACTCACTAAGTTGACGAAATCGTACAGGTCTCCGCACTCTAGGCATCGTAACCGATCGTAAAGGATGTCAAGAACCAAAATCCGCCAACGTTGATTCTTTACTGCGGCTGAAATATTAATTTTTAGAGCGTTAGTTAATTAAAAAAAAGCAGTATCAAAACCGGAATGTCCAACTTATAAGGCTGAAAATTTTTTCACTTGTTATTTACAGTAAGATAAATACATTCACCAACTTTTATTAAAATAAAACCATTTAAACTGGGTGTTCGGATTTATATGTCACTTAGTATATTACTGAGGTAGCAGCAATACTGAGCTAGTGGCGCATAAACATTCAGAATACAGGTTTATAGTAACGATATATACTAAGTGACATATAAATCTGAACACCCAGTTTAAATGGTTTTGTTCTAATAAAAGTCGGTGAATGTATTTATCTTACTGTAAATAACAAGTGAAAAAATGTTCAGCCTTATCAGTTGGGTTTTTATACTGTTTTTTTTTAATTCACTAACGCTCTAAAAATGAATATTTCAGCCGCAGTAAAGAATCAACGTTGGCGGATTTTGGTTCTTGACATCCTTTACGATCGGTTACGATGCCTAGAGTACGGAGACCTGTACGATTTCGTCAACTTAGTGAGTTTGATAGGGACCGTATAGTGGGACTTTGGGAAGCTGCACTTTCGTTTCGGGCAACTGCAGTTAGAGTGCAAAGAAGTGTAGACACTGCGGTTAGGTGTTGTCAGGCATGGCTTCGAGAAGGCCGTACGCAAAGGGCAAGGGGTACTGGACGCCGCCGTAGAACAACAGACCGTGAAGATCGCCGCCTAAGATTATTGGCCTTAAGGGACCGTTTCTCCACTACCAGGTCCATTGCAAATGAATGGTTTGCAGAACACGGAAGACCTATTGGCATGCGAAGTGTTTACCGACGAATGAGAAGTTTTGGCTTGTTTTCATACCGGCCACACTGGGTCCTCCCTTTAACTCGAGAACGTCTACGTAATCGCCTTGAGTGGTGCAGACAACGGTCACTCTGGGATCAGGAATGGAACAGTATTGTCTTTAGTGACGAGTCTCGATGTTGTTTAGGCATGCACGATGGCCGTGCCAGGGTTAGAAGGCGACGTGGTGAAAGGAGGAATCCACAGTTTTTTGTTGAAAGACATGTTCATCACACTGTTGTAGTTATGGTTTGGGGTGCTATAGCTTATGGTTCCAGGTCACCAGACTTCTTTCAACATAATGATGTCACATTGTTACCATGGCCACCAAGATCTCCCGACTTATCCCCAATTGAGCACGTGTGGGATATGATGGGTAGGAGATTGCTCAATTTGCAACGTCCTCCTCAGACTCTAGAAGCACTTCGAGAGGAGTTGGTGGTTGCCTGGAATGAGATACCACAGGAGGACATTGACCACCTGATCAGAAGCATGCCTAGGTGCGTTGGAGAATGCGTAGCACATCAGGGTGCATCCACACATTATTAAAGGTCAAAGGGCTTTAAAGCAGTGCAATCATTTTGAAATTTTTATCATTTACTTATTATGCTTCTTTAAGTACTTATAAAAAATTTTATTAAAATAAAACCCTTTAAACTGGGTGTTCGGATTTATATGTCACTTAGTATAGAAAGCGGCGTGAAGTAGACTGAATGTGAACTTCTCACTCAATTCTGGACAAATGAACCTTGTATATTTATTTTATATAGTATCTGGTTCAGCTTTTGTATCCTCTGGTATATTTATTTTTTGTTGGCTATGAAAACTATTGTGCCTGGCATAAGGCTATAGAAATGAATAAATATAAGTGAAAGAAGGCATTGTTCATTCGTCAAACATTGTGCAATATTTTGATTAAGTTTGTTACATTCGGGTAGGTTAACTATCCACCGGCTATGGAAACTCTTACTGGTGGTGATGTGATATAATCAACGTGATTTGAGAAAAAGTCTTGTGAAGTTTATTTTATTTTTGAAATATTCGATGACCACTTTCGTAACCCTGGAACTGTTTGCGCGAGAAAAAGGTACTAAGAATAGATGAGATTTTTTATTCCACAAATATCAGAAGATTGGTGAACATCCATTTGTTCTTTTACACCGAAATAATACAGCCTTAATGTTGTCACCCTATTTATAGTGCCCTGGTAGTCACATTTGAAATGAAATTTTTAAATCACGATATACAAACAAATGAAAAACAAGAATGTTTAATCATTACCCCTTTTACAGGTACTTTATCTGCGATATCCGATGGCATGCAATATGGCTGGACTGCACCCACAGTGCCCATCTTACTGGGACCGGACACCCCCATTAAGATCACAGAATTCCAAGCAGAATGGCTGGAGTCCGTGTTGATGATTGGAGCATGTTGTGGCTTGCCGGTTACGATGTATCTGGTGGACAAAATTGGGAGAAAGAAGTCACTTTTGGTGTCTGCTGCTACCACGTTCACGGCTTGGATTATCATGGCTGTTGCTAGGAGGATTGAGTGGATTTATGTCGCCAGGTAGGGAGTAAAAATAAAGTCAAGGCCCATATTTACACCGTGGCTAACCAAGGTGCACAGAGCAGCATTTAGAAGGGGAGGCTAGCCTTGGCTGGCATTTCAAACTCATTACAATATCAGTGAATCCACAAGTCACAATATACAAAGCTGTAGCAGTAGTTGTCCAACAATGACCAGTTTTGTATATTGTGACCTGTGAATTTGGTGCTCTACATTTACTGATATTTTGCGTTCTGACTGCTGTCTGAAGAGTTTTTTCGCTGAGCAGAATGGACCGGTTATATTCCTATACATGTTTAACATTTACGAAATATTTTTACATACGAGTGTCCTAGAGGATGCGACTTTCCTTTTCAGTAGAAAAAAAAGTAAAAAGACGAAATTCGTTTGGAAGAACTTTTAAGCACAGCTTTGTCACTACTAAGTACTGTTAAAAGTTGTCGCCTGTGATTAAATGTTTCGTAGAAAGTCTAGGCAATCTGTTTAGAAGAAATCAAAGTTCCGATGAAAGAATCATTTACCATGCCAGCCCACATATTCAGAGAAAATGCTTTGATATCAAATGTTTAAATCAAAGCATGTTATACCCTTTCCCAACCTGCTGCGTGTTTTCAAAGTTGAGTCATTTATTTTAACAGCCTACAGAACTCGTCAAAAAAGTTGATATGGTTTAGAGATAGCTTACATTATTGAAAATTATTAAAAAAAATCATTACCAAGTTAAATGGATACCGTTTCTAGAAAAATTGTTCAAAATTGTCCCCATTTGTTCCACGACTCTTTAAAAGCTTGAAAAATAAAATCCCGGTATCCACGATTTCAATCACAAGCATTTTCAGTGCATCGTTAAAGTCCTGCCAGGGTATTTACTGCTCCATCAGGATACACTAACCCTTTTAAATAGCCCCACAAAGAAAATCACAAGGCGTTAAGTCAGGGGAGCGAGCAAGCCAAGAAATAGGTCCATTTCGCCCTATCCACCTATTCGGAAACTCGTTATTTAGATGTTCATGAACTTCTCGTTTAAACTGTGGTGGAGCCCCCCATCATGTGGGAACCACATACTCTGTCTCACATTTAGTGGAACATCTTCTTATAATTGTGACAGATTGTGTCGAAGAAAATATAGTTACAATTTACCGCCAGCCCAAACATTTAATGAAAGTCTATGTTGAAAATGAGTTCTTTCTACAGCATGCGGACCTTCTACTACCCAAATGCGGAAATTGTGTAGGCATTCCATGCCGTGTAAATGAGGCCTCGTCTGTACATAAAATTAAATTAATTAAAGCCACTGGCAAAATGCAACTCTTCTAGGATGACCCTCAGGTTGTAACGCTTATACCCGTTGATAATGATAAGGATAATACTGTTCTTGTCGTATTGTCTTCACACTTTAAGATGAGAAACTTCAACTTGAGCTGCTATGGCTCTAGTACTCATTTTTGGGTGGTTTTCTACCGTTTCTAAAATGTCTTCCTCAATTTGTAACATTTCAGGTTGAGCAGGTACTTTAATATACCCTGTGTCACGGAGTCTAATAACTAAATTTACAAACATCCGTCGGGCCGGATGACTTATTAAAAACTGCGTCTGCATTTTGTTGGCACTCTCCGTATGTTAGTATTATGTCCACTAGTTCAATGTTTTCGTAAACATGAACTATTTTTTCGCACAAAATAATCAGACAAGTGACAGTATACGCACTATCAAAAGACTGATACAACTGATCGAACCAAAGACTCAGGCTGAAGACCATATAATAACACAAAAAGTTTGCCAAATTTGGATAAACAAAAAACGCTAAGATTTTACACGCAGTGTTCCAAAAGAGAGAATCAAACAATCTGTGTAATAACATTATTATTTTTTATAATTTTTATTCTTTATCTATTTCTTTTATTATGCAACTTTTATACAGGTGATTTTTGGTGTATCAACACCTTTTGACGAGTCGTACAAGCAGTTAACACGTTCACGGACAACCCCGAATTCCTGACTTTTCACTGATGTGACAGTAGGCCTTTCTCGAAAACCTTAATCTTAGTTATTTTTTCTCCTAGCATTTAGGTTCCATCCATACACAAAGATGTCAAAAAAATACATAGCTTGCATTTCAGAAACACGGACTTCTTCCCCGATTTTGGTCCAGGAACGCCTGGAATTTTTTCAGGCCAGTGTCCTTCTTTTTTCTCAGGTACAGCACTCTCTTCTGTTTCGATAGTTTGTTGGGACTCGAACCTTCTGCAGTCTTTTTTGCTTTTTCTAACCAAATTGATCTCGTCAGCGTTCATTGGCAGTTTGATTAAAGCTGTTATCAAACTATCTCTGAAGTTCAAGAATGTATACTTTTTAGACTTTCCTTTGCAGTACTTTCTATATAAGTAGAACAAATTCCAGAACGATAAGTCTAAAAGATAGAATAATACTTTTTTATACCAGCGGATGGTTTTTCGTGGAGAGGAATACGTAGATGTCATTTGGTCACATCTGTCTATACCTGGCATATGTTCATTATACACTACAACTTCCTCCGGTTTCACCTGCTCCTTTGCGAACCTATTCTTCGATGTTATGAGGCGGGGATGATTTCTAGTTGCAGATCCCTCTTGTCCCTCCATTTCGAGATGTAAATGTTTTTCTTGCGTAGCCAGAAATATTGGCCTTTCTTCAGTTTTCTCTTTGCGAGTTGTTTTGGATTACCCCTTCTATTAGCTCTTAGGGTTCCATTTGTATGTGTTTTAAAATTTAGCAGTTTTTCTGATAGCTCACAGCTGTTATAATAGTTGTCCATAAAGACCTCATGACCTTTCATCAAATAAGGCTTAAGAAGTCTCAGTACAAGAGCCGTTGTTTTCGTCGTATTGCCTTCTGTATGTTCAGCTCCACTATACATCTCTATATTGAGGACATAACCATCAAAACTTGTTAGCTCAATAAATTTTATACCATATTTCTCTTTCTTTCCTTTTATGTACACTCTAAATGCAAGTCTACCTCGAAAATGCAACAAACTTTCATCCAACGATAATTCTTTATTTGGTCCATAGGCATTTTTGCTCTTAGAGCTTAACGGATAGCAGCAAGTTACCCTCAAAATTTGCTCGAATCGTCTTCCAGACATTACAAAACTGAATACAGGATGGAAGTAGAGTGGATCAGAGTAGAAGAAATAGCGTCTCATATTTCTTGTTGAAATTTGACCTTGTAGCAAACACAGTCCAAAAAATTGCTTTATCTCCTCCACTGTGATAGGACGAAATCTTGTATCTCTACTATATCTTGTTTTTGGTGGGTTTGTGTTGGCTAAGGCATTACCATAGTTATTTGAGCATTCCTGAATATATTCCATAATCTGCGGTTCTCGAATTCCTCTAGTGGTGTTGAGCTTGCATCGAGAGGAATTTTACATTGATTGCTGGTTACATCAAAATTGAAGTCTGGTATAGGTGCCGTTGTTTCTTCCCAGTCACTTGATTCATTGTCTTCGGCGGCTTCCTCCCCTGGTGCTGAAAGGCCACCCTCACGGTCACTATCATCCTCCATTTCGTCTAGATTCTGATTATCTGTATCTGATGAAGACAGTTCTGCTTCTGTTTCGGAAGGCACATAGTCCTCATCGGAGCCAAACTCACCATCATCTTCAAAAGGATCTTGTAGATCTTCATACCCGGACGAAACTTCTACAAACAAGCGTCTGAGTCTTTGTTGTTCTCTTACATATGGGTCATAAGAATGTTCACGATCCATCTGAAAGAAATATGCCAGGTTGGTATTGTTGTAGGAAAACTAATTGCTTTATTGTTAGAAACTTAACCTCAAATATCTTTTCAAATTTTACTATAGCCTCACAGTTTTGTAACATAATCATACAGTACTCATACCCTACGAAATGGTGTAATTACAATTATAACGTTTTGGAAATACTTACATTTTGCATAAACAAAGTGTTTCGTTCTGTACATACAGTACTTGGATGCATACAAGACTTGCTACGACACGAAGACACCAATATGCGTTCTGCGCGGGAAAAGCTGATCAACAATAATTGTGGTAGGATAGGTTAACTGGAAGGGATATGTGCCTAAAAAATGACACTACCTTCTGTTTGTGTTGTTAACTTGTGACAGTAGGGTTTATAGTATGGTTACCTTGAATGAAAACTGGTCATTACATTTAATTTTCATTTCTATGTGATTTTCATATATTTCATTATTAGGACACCATAGAACTTCTTACTTAATTTGTATTATATAATTTCAATAGAAATAAATATATCGATGTTTTGCGGCGATCGCCATATGGTATTTAGAATGACTTTATTTGCTTATTGTTTTTCTCTCATTTGATAACCGTATTATAGCGTTGACCATGGAAACTATGAAATGCCATTGAGCGGTAGTCGCCATATTCGATTTAGAATGACGTCACCTTGCTTATTATGTTTATTACACCAAGCCTTTCTATTTTATACTCATATCAAAGAGCTTATTATGAAAATGGTAAATTGTCATTTTGTTGCATCCCCCATATTGGATTCAAAATGGCGGCAGCTTATTCATTTTGCATTTTCACGCAATCCAAACCTGTGTACAAAATTTCAGCTCAATTCGTGAAGGTCAACTGCCTCGAAATACTATTCCAAGACTTGGCCCACATTAACAAACAGGTCAATTTAAATGAAAGTTTGTGATGATATGATTTACACTAGTGCATGAGGTCTTCGTCACTGACTTCTATTTTCTGTGTAAGCCGAGAATTGTGATAAATCTAGTCCAATTAATGTAATCATAAAATATGATATAGTACGTTACATACCTAGTTTGAGATGTAGGCTATTATTATACTCGATATCAATAATGACCTTCACAAATGAGGAATGTACAGAATTTTTTCAATAATAGCGCTATAAATCACAAAGAGTTAGATCTTACATCATAGTCATGAAGTTTCTAACTAATTTTACAAGTACTTTAAAATATCTAGTCATCTGGTGTCATACTTATAAACTCAGATTTATGAATGCAACAGACATTTCAAAAGGTTTAGACTGGTCTATCCAAGAGAAGGAATGAACACGTTTCTTTTATTATGTCAACTACGGGGGTATTCATGAAAGAGAACTACTTAAAGAGCTAAGCAAATTACTCATTTCTCAATCGTACGAAACTATTCAGAAATATAAGGTTCACTTGACAAACTGATAATGAAATAATTGACAGAGTACAATATCAAATGACAATTATTTGCCTAGATGTTTTTTGTTTTTATTGTTAAGCTAAGGAGAGAAACGGTACTTTTCTGCAAGGCATTGTCAATAATAGTGATTTCTCCGGTTAGTAGGGAAAAAAGTACTTTGCAGCTTTGATATAGTCAAGAGCCAAAATACGAAATAGTTGATTATTTTCTCGAATGATACTACTAACGAAAGATGTCTTTGTAAACCTACGCACCAGTTTCATCGTTACGATACTTAACGTTTCTGGCTCTCATATTGCTACTTGGCATACACCAGTTAATATCAACCTCTGTTTCCGAGAACTACGCACTTATATACATTTTGTTTTCCAGATTCTTCTCTGGGATGGCAGGAGATATGGCATTCGTAGCAGCTCCGATGTTTATCGCAGAAATAGCAGACCAGAAGATCAGAGGGTTTCTCTCCAGTCTGATCTACATCATGATGCTCACGGGAATTCTATTGCTCTACTGTGTGGCACCTTTTGTACCGATTTGGGTGCCATGTGTAATTGGTAATATACATTATCTACTTATTCTATAAGAATATTCAGTCAAAAGCAAAATACCCTTGGACGTATTTGATATTTCATGTTTCAAACTACCACGACAACAAGATGCTATATAATTCCGGCTAATAGTTACAAGAACAATGTAATACATAGCGGAAAGTACAGACCACAACTTTTCAACAATGAGCAACTTTAGCATGCATCCATTTGATGAATTTCAAACATGCGGATATCAGACTACTCATTTTGCAAAGATTCTCTCACGAATCGTTTCATGAAATTTATTTACTCAATGCACAAAGACAACAGACAACAGAGTAAATAAATATAGAATAAAAACAGGCCCAATGGGAGACATTGCCTGTACATGGACCAATAATTTTAAGTTGCAACTGTAGAATACAAATTACAAAAAAGGTAAAAAACTAGTCACAGTTGATTATGTGTTTATTAATTTCAGTCCTAGATATAGAATGTAGCCACTTTTTTAAATTTCTTTTGAAAGAATATCCGAACTGTAAATCTTTTAAACCTTTAGGTATAATTTCATAAAATTTTGGTGCTAGAGATGTGACCGCTGTATTACAGATTTATGTGGCTGAGGAACTAATGTGCCACGAATTTTGTACCTTGCATAATGATTATGTTAAATTTTTTGGTCGGTGCTGACAAATTTATGGTACTGAGCGATACTGTCTCATATCATACTTTTGTACATCTGCGTATAATTTGTCAATGAGATAAAGTTTCGGTTTTTTGAACCTCAATCTTAGAATACTTTTTGAAAAATATCTAAATTACAGATATGTGATGAACATATGCTAATATACCGTATGTGAGATGAACATGTTTTTCTGTCGGTGTATTCGCAAGGTATTTAATTTTATACGATACCAATCTAACTTTCTTGAAAATATAGTAGACATGGATATCCCAACGTAAGTGAGAATCGAATTCTGTTCCAAGATATGGTAGATGACAAAGTAGAAGATGGCTTGGAAGAACTTACGTTTATCTTCATTATTTTCTAACACCCTTCTTAAAATCAAGTAACCTTACAAAAGTGACGGCCCAGTGGTCAACTATGACAATAATCACAAAAGTACAATTCGCAGCGAGGATAAATATGCGGTATGCGACACCAGTAAAAAAGAACACCAATTTTCGTTCTACAAATCTCAAATGGAAGATTCGAGAATACCACTGGGACGGGATCTCAAATAAGCGAAAGTCCTATTCATGTCAATTATTCTCTTACGCATCATGATTTCACTAATTTCAATATTCTGAATTATTTAAACCCCAGTATTAGACCTAAGCAACTTTTGCTTTAGACTTTCAAACCATTATTTTTATTCCTAGGTTTGACAATCAACGCAATAGGTATGCTGGTTTTCTCCTTCCAACCAGACTCACCATACTACCTTCTCTACAAGAACCGACCAGACGAAGCTAAGCGTGCACTTAGACGATTAAGACAACGTGAAGACGTGGACACAGAATTCAAAGACATCTCTGCAGCCATAGACCGTCAAAAGGGAGAGAAAGGAAGATTCCAGGATTTGGTTCTTGTAGACAGCAACAGAAAAGCTTTGGTCATCATGGTGATGCTCAACAGCTCTCAACATATGAGCAGTATCAGTGTGATGCTGATGAACTTGCATTCTATCCTGGAGGAAGCTGGTGCAGTGTACGTGGCAGCTTCAACCGGTGCCATCATCTTCTCAGCTACGATGTTCTGTGCAGCCATGTCAGCTTCACTAGCTATAGACAACTTTGGAAGGAAGTTTTTGCTTTGTTGTTCAGGTGTCTGCGCCGGTCTGTGTCTGTTGACAATAGCTACCTACTTCACATTGAAAAACAATGGGTTTGATGTCTTGCACGTTAGTTGGCTACCTCTACTTATGGTCATGTTATATGCAGCTTCGTTCAAATTTGGTATTGGTCTAGTACCTGTAGTTCTGACAGCAGAATTGTTTCCCGCAAGAGTCAAAGCTATAGGCATGACTCTTTCCGACTTGTGCTATGTAGGGTTTGCAGTGATTACGTTACAAATTTATCATGGATTGAAGAATGCATTTGGTATACATGTACCTTTCTTCATATTTGCCTGCAGTTGCTTTTGCACTGTGATCTTCACGATATTCTATATTCCAGAAACGAAGGGTAAGACCCTTGAGGAAATACAGATGATACTGAAGGGACAAGAGTTGGACGACCTTCAGAAACCTAAGGCAGTTAGTGAAGATGAAAACAAAAAGGATGGAACGTATAAAAATGAAGCTTTTGTACCTTGAGCATTAGTATTGGTGATAATGTCATAAGCTATGTGATCGTCACATCATTCAGAAATACTCTGCTGCTAACCTGTTTTATTAAAGGTAGCAAGAACTTATGATACAGACTTGGGTACGTTTACCAATATCTTTCCACTTGGTGGCGAAACTTGTAGTATTCTACTTATGTCAGACTTGTGTTATTCTACTTATGTCTTTTGAAACATAACTTTTTAAAAAATTATACAAGAGCTCTATTTACGTCTGTGTTCCTTGTCTTCATTATGAATCATATGGAGTGGTCTTGAATGCTTGAGCTCGAATACAAATTGTCTTAAATAGCAAAAACATGACCTCTTGCTATAAGCTGAGAAATACGTGGGATTCTGTAGTAAGCTTGACCTTCACCGATCTGACGGGCAGTCGAAAATAATTTATTATGAAATATATATGTTAAATAAGTATCGGTAATAGGTTGCCTGGAGCTACGATCCGGCATCCTTTTCTATCGCAATGGATAGTACGCATATCACACCGTTTCTAAGATTTTCATACGTTTGAGTTTTTCAATTTAAAGCCCTGATAACTGTGATTGCTTATACGTTTTTTGTAGGCAATCTTACACCGTAGTGTTCGCACTGATATTATCTTTAGTATGATGAACAATTTTATTGGTTTGAGAGATTAGGCGACGAGAAATGAAAGATAGTTTTCCGGTACTTAATTGGAGGTACTCTGTTGATTCCTTTAAGCTACGTAACACTGATACTGTCCAACCGGTCTTCAGATCAGTTCGGAAAAGCTTTAATATCTATGTGTAATTAAAATATAGGGCGGGAAAGTTTTTTCAACAAGTTTTATTGCACAATTAGATCCAGACACTTCCAAGAGAAGCAGTCTGGTCAATGGAGAAAAACATGGAATTTTGACAGTACTTATGATGAGCTTCAAAATAGGGTATACCTGATCCCAATTTCATTTGAAAAATGTTCAAAGAGGGTGTCTGGCTTCCATATTAAAATTTGTCATTGTTACTTTTTCGCTAAAATATAGTATTAAAGTAGAGCAGATTGAAGCTCAAACATTCAAACCAGTTTTCCTCTAGTGGTCTAACAAAAGTTTCTCAAAGGAGACGATTCATGTAAAATTGAACTTTGAAAAGTACATTAAGTGTTTTGAAGAAGTTAGTGGCCAAGAAAATAAATTCTTCGGTGTAGGCCAACATTTCCCAATTTCTACGCCACTGATATAGTCTCAGGCACTAACATTTTTGTATAAATTGCCTGTGATGCCGATACTACATATACAAGATTTAAAGTCAATATCTTAATCTACGCTAAGCATACAATTTATTCCCAATTTCGAAAGTATTTTATTTTACCCCAGAAAGCTTGCCACATTTCTTCAGAAACATTCTGTATACAGAACTCAGGTCCTTTTGACTTCTCTCCCTCGTTGATCCCGTTTCATCCAGCTCATGGTATGCAGGCACTTCGAGGCATGACATCATCGCTAACGAAAGGAATGCACATTTTCAGCGTGCAAGAAAGTATTCAAAATATACACCCCCGGAGTTCTAATAAAAACAGCGTCCACGGAAATTGATTGGATCTCGCTGTAAAACGGTTTATCGTGCCGCATTTTGTACGAATCACGTTTTCCAGTTTCCCTACGTTGAGTGTCAGATGGCAAATGTCACTATCTCTAGTGAACTGCCATCGAAAAATAGTCCAGAGATTATGGAAACGACGTTGACTCATCTGCGATTTTTTTGTTTTTTACTTCCCACGCCTGCTGGCGAGGAAGTAATGTGCATCACGGAAAATCATGTCATCCATTTTCGTCTGTCTCTCTGCCTGCTGGTCTGTCTGTCCGCTGATCCTTGGCCCGTCGATTACTTGGAAAGTACCATTCGGATTTTGATGAAATTTTCACACAGTCACCACTATGCCCAGCTTTGTAGTTTTTGGAAATAGGTTCACTGTGGTGGAGAAAATCGCCAAAAATGAGAGAATAAAAACCCATCATACTCCGTGTTTTGACGTTTCTGAGGATATCCATTCTTGTTGGAAAAAATGGGGAGTGGGGGATTGTAGGAGGGCGTATCGAAATTTTTTGAGGTTAGTATTTAAATACAGTTCCAATCCCGATAATTCTACGGACCTATTAGACATAATCAACACATCATGGATTGCCCTGTGCATTTGCCCCTTGAACTTATAACGACAGAAAAACGTTTTCGACATGTGTACCTTTGTCTGCTGGCTTAAACTGCGTGCCGGCGTTACGTCCTGCATGACTGGTAGCGCTTTGTCGTGTGTAATGCATCGTGCTTCCAGATATTGGGAAGAGGCGACGAGACGTTGAAAGATGAACGGTGCATCTGGTAAGGCAGGAAATGATGTAGTGGACTAATTGTACGGACCTGTTTGACGGACTCGATCCGTTTATTTTCTCTGTTATATATGTTCGTGACTAACTTTCCTTTTAGAGGCTCTAACTTAAACATGGTGCTTTCGTCCGTCTAACCAAAGATATCCAACCACAGACAGCTGTTCCGTGCTTTGGTCTAGGCTTAGTCTCTGGGACAACAACGAAAACGAAACAGCTATCCTCTATCCAGGGTAATAAGGTTTATATATAAAATGGATCAAGGTTGCAGCTAGACCATAACGATTAAGATGGACGCCATCTAGGGCGGAAACGATGCGAAGAGAACCGCTGCGACAGTTGTCAGATTCACAGCTCAAACGTGGCTTCCCTTCACACTGGTCCCATTGCACGAATCCTCATTTCATTACATATAAAGGAACCCAGATGGGCAGTTTTGCTTCTCTCCATCTCGCTTCCCTATATATCAGTGGGTGTACAACTTTATTGTCCACCACACAGGTATAAACTGTATTCAAATCTCACTTACTCCCGCCAAAACAAGTACCAACATATAATGTTAAGATTTTCCAACTTCTGTTGGCCAGCGGGAGATAAATGCCTGAGTCGGGAGCAACAAGCGAATGCACTTGAACTCGCTTTGCTACGCGCTGTCAATAAACATTCGCTCACCACTAGCCAGCTGGCTTCAGCTTGTCCGAATGCTTCCGGTAACAATAAGAGACCATTTTTCGAAACTTGAAAGCCAGACTTTTTACGACAACTGTTTGTATCGAATTTTCTACTTAAAGGTCAAGGAACGCGTCCTTCTAATTATGGCCTACTAGGTAACACTCTGTATACAGTGTGTTTCAAATTCCACTCTGACCACTGAGATCCTGGAAACCGTAAGAGATACGAAGTCGCCTGAGTGGAGGTAAAGGTGCGTACTTAAAATATTTCCAGAGAGATACAGAAAAAACACCAAAAATCGTTTTTCCTTGAATTTATTTGTAGTGGGATTTCAAAATAAATTGCACATTAAAATTGCTACTTTTTCTCCTATAGAAGATTAGAATTTCAATATGACATTTCGTCTCTTGTCAGCCAGCATCAAGTTTTTGTTTTCATATTGGATTTTTATTCAGATAAATATAAGTTTCTAATGCTAATGTCAAAAATGTTTAATACGTCATATATCAAAAAGAGAATTTCCTAGGTAGTCATTTGCTTCACAACCAGATTTATCTCAAAAACACTTGAGACGAGTTTTCAAAATGAATTGCATGTTGTGATTGTTACTTACAGGATGGAGTAGTCAAATTTTCAATTCGACATTTCTTCTTTCGACTTCGACCACCAACTTTGTTTTTTCATATGAACGGTATACTGAAATTTTTACATCTAAATGGACTTTTCAGTCATAAATTCAGTGATGTATTTACTTAGTTGCCCATTAGTTTGTTGTTCGATGAAAATTATAAGGGAATAAAAAGGAATGGCGAAACCTGAACGCAAGATGAAAATTTTATTGATCGTAATAACAATAATAATAATAAGAATGTCCGGTATTTTGTAGGCAAAACCTCTTCTCTGTACATACGTCACTGATTCAAGTTTTCAAAACTTCAACCATTTTTTAAATCAGAATTGAAAACTCTATTCAACTGCGCAGAAGTCCAAAAGTTAAAGCTGGAGGACAAGAGACGAAACGTTATATTGCAATTCCTATTATGCCGTCTTGTAGAGGATAAAAAGTGGCAGTGTTAATGTGCAATTTATTTTGAAATCCCACTACAAATAAAGTCAGGAAAAATATTAAAATGATTTTGGGAAAATTCAGTTTTTACCGTCTCTGGGCAGAACATCGAAACTTTCTAGACGGCATGTTGTTGACTACGTAAATACGTAACTTTGTTCCCATTTAAGCGACTTCGCATATTTTACAGTTTTCGAGATCCCAATTCAACCACTTTCTGGTTTTGCATAGAATACGAATTGCACTACGGAACTTGATCGTCTGTTGAGTGGGTTTTGCCGAAATAAATTAATTCTCTTACAATACAACGAGTATTCGGCGCCGTTTTTCGAGATGCGCATATCTCAACGGATAAATCTATTAGAAAACACAGGACTGTGAGAATTGAGACTGCTTTTCTGCATCGCTAGCGCCACGGTTTAAGTGCTAATTTCAATTTGGGGGTTTTTTAAACCTCGGAGTATCCACAGCTGTTGACAAAATGAAGTCAAGAAAGGCTTTGGTGTGCAGCATATATTCATGTTCTTGGACATGATAGGGCGACTTGTGGTTGTTACAAGCTTTAGATGTTTTTTTTTATTTCGCAGATACTACCATCGTCATGAGAATGTATGTCAGATCACCACTGTTATAACTGATAAAAGTCTTCTTTTGTCATCTTTCAGTACACGTATGTCCAACTATTTCTTTGGAATAACTTTTTTGAAAAGAGGCCTTTTTCTACTATGCATCATTTTGTCTTTCATCAGCCTTTGAAACAACGGTATCGGAAAAATACTACATCGGTCTATCTCCTGTACGTACTTTTGTTTTATTATGAACTGTTTTTCAAGTACGGTACTTGTTAATAGAAAATTAAAAAGTGAACCTCCGCCATATACATCTCTTTATTAAATTAATCTCGTACAGATAACCGAACCTATCATCAATACAGTTTGAAATGTAAACATCTGGTATATATTGTATATTAAAAAGGAATATATTGAAACTTTTCTTTTATGTTGGGTGTCTAGCCTCGGTTTATAAACACCACCAGTGATCTCCTGACGGAGCTGCATCCCAACTACCTTCAAACCATTCTTCAAGCAGTTTTACACGATGGTAAAATCGCTCTCCTGCTCATCCATCACAGTTCAAAGATTTAAAGAAAAAAATGGCGCATTCAACATATCTTTCACCGAGAGTTCTGCGTTTTCAGCTCTGTGTGTAACTAAAGAGGCGGTTAGCACAGATTTTTTAACTAGCGATTTTCACGCTCATAGTTCTTTGTCATTTCGTTTTTGATCGAAAATTTGGTTTTTCATTGATACGGCTATTTGTGGACCGATAAAAATTATGGACCATTTCTTCTTTGAGCTTTATGCCACTTATTTTTAGAAAAACATATTTCAATACATAAATCCCTTGTCATTTTTATCCCTTGTCTGACATAGACATGGATTAGAAGAGTACCAGTATATACCTCGAAAGCAAGATGTGATAGAAGCAAAGACATCCACATACTGTTACTAAGAGAGAACCGTAGTTTTTCGGGTACAGGAAATGTGCCACGTAGTGCTATCAATGTTTGCTTCAAGATTATCTGTATTTTCAAATTAAAAAATGACCGATGCTTTACTTGTTATTCGTACAGAGACTGTGGGGTATTCGAAATTAACTCACTGATACTATTGTGCATAAGTTTAGAAGTTACGTGTTACTGTTGAAAATCCATTTCAAACGTTGTATAGATGAAATAACATTGGGGAATTGCTTATTTCCGGGAACTCTCCAGGCTTTGAATATTGAATTCAACATGCTTTTATGTAACTAGTGATAAATTATGTATATATGTTTATGTAACTGAATTGTTTCACTCGTATAACTTGAATAATGATATTGATACACAACTATCCTGAAATTCCCGGTAGTATCCAATGAGTTACGCATTATAGATAAAAACTTATATTTATTAAATTATTATATGCACAGAATTAAAAATTACTACAATAAATAGACATAAGCACTATATCTCTACACTTTAATTATCATCACAGAGGAGAGTGATCTGGACGTATTTGAGAGGCTGGTAAATGTAGTAAAAAGACATTATCGAAACTAGCGTTTCGTCAACAATGTTTTCAGGATAAGGTTGATGAAAGGACAAACATTTTTTATTTCCAGTGCAATATTACCTATGTATACCGAACAAATCTTTTGAAGCAGTAAGAATCTTCTACTTTGGATGAGTTCGGTGTTTGATTTGCCGTTTAGTAATAATGTCTTATATGTATAAGTTGCCAAATTGACTGGACTACCAATCGACAAGTTTCGCTGTTCGCTTATCACTCGGTCAATGAAGATATTGCATTTTTATCAAACTATATACATGTATATTTATAAGAGCAAAGTATGTATGTTTTATATTTGTAAATAAATAATTACGATTGTTAAAAGATTCGTTTTAATTGGCTATGCAAGTAAAATTGTACAGCAGTCTTATCATCAGAAGGAGAGCTCAAATATTCATATGCGTAGAGATATAGAGATAAACGAATTTGATCAGTCGGTAAGGCCATTGACCTGTGAACAATGCTGGTGGTATACGGTAAGGTTTTAGGGTTCCTGGACGTGCAGTCGGTTTGGTCAATCAAAACGTATTTCCTTTATTGGGAAGACACATGAAGTTAAGTGATATGAACAAATAGCATACAAAAACATGGGAGAAACATTCAATGGGTGACCCCTTGTCTTATGACGATATTCAAAAAAGCATCAGGAACGGACTGACGTTGACACCATGTTGCTAGAAAAAATGCATTCTTGTGTGTCTTCGACACAATGGGCTTATTTGTGAAAAACAATCTAGTTTCACTACTGTAAAGACACTAGTTACAGATACCGATATACTGAAAATATAGTAATTTGTATATCAGATTCGTACGAGCGACTTGAAAATCCCACGGATATACATTTCTGAATGATTTCACCAGGCGTCAGGGTTTATACCAGTAGCAGTATTGAACCAAGACCTTTCTAAAAAATATGGTTTACTTTGCGGAGATCAGAAAACATTATATTTGCTCAAATAAAAGACCTGAATTCGAAGTATAATTACTTTTGATCCATTTTTATGCAATGTGTGAAATAATGTTGGATATAGCGATATTATTATGCTGCCAAATTTTTGTCTGATTATATGCTGTTAGTGTTTGTTTAAAAAAAATACTTTTACTTGAAAGAAGCATTTGCACCATATTTTGGAAACACATTCTATGGTATCTATGAGAGATAAGAAACGCCAGCAAAATAAATTGAATACTACTCGTAGGTGTGAAATAATGTTGGATATAGCGATATTACTATGCTGCCAAATTTTTGTCATTTTGTCTGATTAATTGCTGTTGGTGTTTGTTTAAAAAAAAATACTTTTACTTGAAATAAGTGTTTGCCCCATATTTAGGAAACACATTCTATGGTATCTATGAGAGATAAGAAACGCCAGCAAAATAAATTGAATACTACTCGTAGATACGTTGACATGCCAAACAATTTATTTTTACTTTGAAAATATTTTTTCTTCTCTCACTGGAGAACTCATATACGATTCCTAACGACAACTGAATAAAGATTCTTGGACAGATCAACTTTTAACAACAGATAGGGAGATTCGTTTTTTTTTGTGTCTAACAACTAACCTCGTTCACAAACGTGCTATATTTCTGCCTGTTCTTTCTATCTTCAAAATCATTCTCCCCCTTTAGGATCATTTGAATCTCCTCTAAGGTCTTGCCTTTAGTCTCAGGTATATAAAAGATCGTGAACAAAGTAATTAAAAAGCTACATACAGCAAACAAGTAGAACGGCGTTTCTAGTCCATAAGCATTGGACAACCACTTATAGATCTGAAGGCTGATTATAGAACCTAAAACGTACCATCCATCTGCGATGGTCATGCCAACAGCTTTCAATTTAGCTGAAAATATTTCGGCAGTAATCACGATAGGTACGATCCCCAGGCCTATTTTAAACCCAGCTGCGTATACCATCACAGAGGCGATGGGAATCCAACTAGCGGACTTGACGTCATATCCTGCGTCTTTGAGATGAAAGTAGATAGCTAAAGCCATTAGGCAGAAACCTGACACAAGCGTGGACACGACAAGAAGCAGTTTCCTACCAAATATGTCTACCTGGAATGAGGCTATTTGACTAGCTACCAGCATTACTACTGCAAAAACTATACCTACATACTCGGATGACATATAGATTGAGTCACCGGCCTCTAAGATGAGATGAAGGTTCATGAGAATGACACTTATGGCACACATGTGCTGACCTCCGTTCAAAACAAACATGATTATGGTAGCCTTTCTGTTACTTTTAACTGTCAGCAGATCCGATAACCTGCCTTGCTCTCCCTTTTGTCTTGCTATTGCTTGGATGATATCGTTTAGTTCATCTTCTATATATCTACCAGGTCTGAGGAACTGTAGTGACTGTCTTGCTTCATTGATTTGTTCTTTATAAACTAAGTAGTAAGGTGTCTCAGGCATGAAGTAAAAAGTACAAAAGTCTGTGAGTAAAATGACAACTCCAATGACTGGTACAGTGTAAAAAGGGCTAAAAGGAGCAACGCTGTAGACTATGACGAAGCCGACAAGCATCATGAGGTAGATGATACTGCTCAAGAATCCCCTGATTTTGTGGTCGGCGATCTCGGCTACGTACATTGGAGCAGCGACAAGAGCCATGTTGCTGGCAGTGCCTGAAACAAATAAAGTTGTGTCAACCCAGTGTAAATTCGGTGTGTCGCACGTCATACTTGAATAACTCTCAACCTTCATAAACCCGAGCGGGATGGAGTTGCACCCCAGACAACAATTTTAGGGCGTATTTTCTAAAATATTTTTTTTCTTAAATAAACCTATTTCTAATTTAGTATAATAAAGTTTGAAGAAGTTGCTATTTATTGTAACAAGTTATAGTGAGTTTTGAACCTTGGGGTTCAGCTGCACTGCTCGGTATGTAACGACAGGAATGTGATTACAAACCGGACATCACTTCACACTATAACAAAAGGGGTGCAGTGGATACAACAGATAAATTGGCAGAGGAATTCACGATTCAAAGAAAAAGTAATCGGTGGCCGATAGGAATTATTTTCCATCTCCTGGACATTGATGGCATCAACGTCTGTAAACTGTGGGTGTTGAAAAATCCAGATTGAAAAAAAAATCGTTCGGATACAAGAAGTATGTTTTTGTTGAAGTTGGGCCAAGGATTAATAAGGAAAACTACAATTCGTAGGTACCATAATGGCAAGCTTTTACATTCCAATATAAAACAATCCATCCTAACCATTTTACCAGAATTAAACATAAGGAATGAACAACCTGTTTCCGTTATTGGCAGACAGCAGCAATGCTTCTTACGCGACAGACGTTAAGACAAGAATTCTCAAAAGTGTTGTACTCGATGCAATCAGTACGTATGTGCAGAAAATTAAAAAAATGTAACAGTTTGTAACAAGTGTCCCAACTAGCAAAATAGTGGTATAAGCTTTTGGTAAAAGAACCGTTCAGCCATAAAAGCTCTCTATTGTTGTTTCCTGAACACCAAAATGCTGGCTTAATGTTGTGTGGAATGCAAATTTGCTTTCTGCAACATATTTGCTCTAAAATGAGGTGTTTAAAATATTCTTATAGAATAGTTATACAACATCTTATAGGGCAAATTTTTAAATGTTGCATAAACGTTTATACGGCATATTTGCACGTTAGTCAAAGTGGTTGTGTTGTGGCATCCATGGTAACGTTTATAAAACAAACCCGAGCCTTGTTGTTTTGCTGTGCAATTTACTACTTTAGCCACCAATTGCTCCCAACGGAAGCACTTATACAACTGTTGTTTAGTAACTGTTAAAGGCTGTACATATGCTAAATATGTGGGTAAACAACTTCACCATAACCTAACTTTCTGCTGTCATATTTTTGTAAAATGCTATAAAAAATGTTTTAACACAAACAACGCATGCATATTGGTTCAAATGGTTTTATCAACTGTTCAAACAGAAGATATAGATCTGGTATAAATTCTGGGTAAATCATTCGTCTCTGTCGGTATTTCATTTCAGACATTTGTCAAATTGTTGTATAACACCTGCAGGCAACACCAAAATATTCTAATAACCCAAAGACAACATGGACGGTGCCATGATTGTACACAACCACCCGCCATATTGGGCAAACATTTGTTCCTCTATTTAATATTAAATAATTATGTTTCAGTTCGAAATTACAGATGAAAATTAGTGTATTTGTGTCTAAATATAGGATTTGTGGAAGATTTAACGCAGATAAGTTCAGTTTTCCATCTTCAAAATCTAGACATACTTTTGATCATTGTCATAATATGAATCAAATACGAAGCCCGTAGAAATTGGTAACTAATTTGCACGATAATCATAGTAAAATTTGCTGCGCAAGTAATTCAATAGCCCTATATCACAGTGTAGAAGTTTATCATACACCTGTGTATGAAATTCACAATGGCCGATATGTTTACTTAAACAAGATGACACTAATGTGTTAACTATATATTCTTCACTTCGTCTATTCAATACATAAGAAACAGTTTGGTTGCAATAAAGTAGAATCACTTAACAGAATAGTTGTATAGTTGACAAAAACTGAATCTTACACTGACGCAAATGTCCTATAGCGGCTGCAAGAGACTTACATTTTTGTTTTATAACTGTTACCTGCAGCCCTTATACAGCCTCTCAAATGACTGTGTCCTATTAGGTGTGCCCATTCCGCTTGTATAGCTGTTCTAAGAGGGTTTTGCCAATGTTCTTACAGTATACAATGCTGTGTAAGGAATACTGTATAATTATTCTTGCAACTCTAATAGGAGTGATAATTGTTAGTTGGGGTGACAATTAAATTATTATTCAATTTTATATTATAATGATTTTATATTTTTTCCTCGATGTGTTTATTTTCAGTGCTTACAGCATACCTACGTAAATGTATATATATATATATATATAGCCTGAGACGTGGTCATTGTCATCTAGACCAGTTAGGTGAATAATTAAAGCTTCCGCCTTTTGTTGGGTACTTTGACATAATTTAAGCGGAGGACTCTTTATGGTTTTTAATCTCTCTAGCTGCAATTACATTGAGAAAAGTAGCAACAATTGTGCAAAATGAATTTAAATTAACTTACAGTAGTATGTGATGATGTTGCTAAATGTTATTTACGTTAAGGATAAGGGAAACACCCAGTAACATGGTGAAAGCTGGATATATGGTATAATAGTCAAAATTATACAAACTACACACAGCTGTATGACAAGAACAAATTAAAAACAGATTAAAAATATTTAAAACGAAAGTTAAGCATTACATCGAGAAACCACTTGATGATTGCACAAGATGGTGGGCATAGAATCATGAGTAAGGTGAACCTTTTGACAGATGGCAGAAGCTCAGCAGTGTCCGTGTAGATGGATGGAACGAAAATTCTTTTGTAAGGCGTGTGCTATGTTGCCAAATCACTTCAGATGGTGTGATTTTCAACATATGTTGGGTAAGAACTTGTCAAAACCGACCAGAGGCAGTTGAACTAACTGTATTATTAATGAGATGGGCAATTGAATTAACAGTTATTATTTTATTATGAGAAAACAGTTATTCAAATTTGAATGTTTTTTTTTGGTGGTATAGACCAAAAACAGGTTCCATTTATAGTTGTGAAAAGTCAAAATTTGGAGAGACGTGTAAGTGCTCCAATTTTTCGCAGTTTAGCAGATATGAGTAAATGACGCTCAGTTGCTTAACATCTGTCTTCTTATTGATACAGTTGTCATTCATGAAAATGTAGGACATTTCCAGGAATAAACGTTTGGATAGGTGTTTCTCTTCTTCAAGAACTTTGATACTTGTGTAGTTCATGGAGTGCCCTGATGTGTTGACATGAGATGCCAGAGCACATCTCCCGGGATGAAGCCTAGAGTCACTTTTGTGTGATGTAATCCTTCCTTTTAGAGATCTGGAGGTCTGACCTATGTATATTTGGTTGCAATTGTTGCAATTGATAGAGTAGACTGTGTTGGTTAAGCCAAGCAGCGGGACTCTGTCCTTCATCTTTGAAAAAATGCAGTTTATAGTGAGGACGGATTTGCAAGCAATTCGACAGTTCAACGGACTGCATAATATGATCAGCTTAGGAGTCAGATAATTTTATCGCCTATTTTCGTGGCAACCAATTATTGATTTGTAACATTCGCACTGCACTTGTTTCTTGACGAAGTTCCAATGTTATTGTTTTTTTTCACCTCATAAAGAATCATCTGCCTATTACAAAAGTGATGAAAAAGATATAAAAGATAGGTATAATAAGTTCTTTCCATTCACATAACCGAACCTGCATAAGCATGTTCTTGACACGTAATTGGAGCACCATTATTAGCCGAGTGGTAACGCAGGTAAATTTCAAATCATGTGCAACCAATTGAAATCCCAATCCAAAACAATTTCTCTCCATTTGCTATTATAGCTTTCAATTAATACTGGTACAATACGTCTTCTTATATAAAAAATTGTCAATAATATCTTCAATAGTAAGTACCACTAGTAAGCTGTTGAGACTTGTTAAACAAATTTGAATGCATCGATTTTTCTCAAAATAATATGTCCCTAGATTCGTACAGTCATTAAATGTTCGATCACTAAGTTTGCTACATCTTTAGAGGCCGAACTGATGGACGACGGAGAAAATTACGCTTTAGAGCTGATAATCGCCAGGTAAAAAATAAAGGCCCATTATTATTATTATCCCCAGCGAGGATAATACTCTACTACGCTGTAAAACTAATCCCAAAACTGAAACAAAAAATATGAAAAAACCTACTGGGCTGCATTTGTGAACCGTTACAGAGTGGACTAATAACATCTTCAACGTTCGTAATTGTTAGACGTACATGTTGGGAATAAGTGTTGAGAGCCAAACGAACTTACCAAAAAGAAATCTAGCGATGAAAATATACAGCATCCGATTAGCTACAGCAATGACGACCCAACACAGCAATGACATCATAGCTGCACATAGCATAGACTTTCTTCTTCCTATCCTGTCCACTAAGTAGATGGTGAGAGGCAGCGAGAAGAACGATCCAGCCATGAGAATCGTTTCCAGCCATTCTGCTTCTTGTTTGGTAGTCTGGATGTGGCTGTTCTCGCTGATGAAGTAAGGAATAATGGGTGCCGTCCAGCCATAGCTCATGCCATCGGATATGGCGAATAAGGTTCCTGTTGTAAATAAATAAAAACTGAGGGTGAAGAATGCTACTATGATTATGACTTGTTTGTGAACGAAAAAATTGCATAGCAGAGAATGTGATGATTGTCTGCTGCGATAACTTGCGTTTAATTACACAGGTCCACAGAAGACTGTGGTATGTGGTGGGGTCCCACTATATGTTCACATGTTTTTTTCCCGCTAAACACGATTCAAAAGTAAGAATTGGGGGTCAACGGTAAGTAAATTAGACATCAGGATTATAGATTTCGGTATTTTTGGTGAATGTGTTTGGAATCGACACCAAATTCTGTCTTCCAATTCGTGCGCAGCGGGGAAAATACATAGGAAAAATGAGGTGGAACCCCCAGTATACACCACTTTTCATTTCTTATATGAACCTGTGTTATGTCATTTATTATTTTTATGGGTTTTTCTTAAAGAACTCGGCAATACGCATATGGGAAAAGTGGTTCCGGTTGATTCCACTGATTTTTTTATATGTTATGCGTATTGGCATTTTCAACAAATGCCACAATGGGCACAGGCCCTCAATCTCAACGCGACCCAAGTCAGCCATATTAATCAGAACCACTCTTCTAGATAGAGCAGAACAGAATATATAGAAAATTCCGCGAAATTAACAGAAACCACGCATACACTTAAGCAGATATTCCACTAGAACCGAGACCCCATTATACTAAGACGACCCGTTGAGTTTTGGAGCTTGCGCTCTATGAGACGGTTGTTCAGGATGCCGATTTCATAGATTCAGCCATATTACCCGAAATCACGCTTCTAGACAGAGCACAGCTGAGTGAAACCGACACCCCATTATACTTAATTGAACAGCCTATATGGGACCCGTTCAGATTGGGGGCCTGTGCCTAGTTATAAGGACACCAAGACAGATAAAATATGAGAAATTCAGCGAAATTAAGCTACACAACTCTTTCACTTAAAACAGATATTCGATTGGAACCGATACCGCATACTACCTGCTGGCTTGTGACCATTAGAGCATTTGTTCAGTACGCCGAGTCACACAATACGAGTATATACAAAATTTATCGAAGTTAACCAAAACCATGAAGCAGATATCCGAGTAGAGAACCGATAACCCATTATACTGACTAAAATTCCATCGAACTACAATTCTGACTTGAGATTCCTGTTCAGCGGGAGGAAGCACATATAACAGATGCAATGGTACCTCCAGCATATACTACTTTTTCTGGCCGACCTCTGCTATTATTGCCGCATCCGTGATATTTGATGGGCAGACACCGAAAGCATAGTAATCGGCAATGCAGGTACTTGAATATTGTCGTAGTCCTAGTAACTTCTGAAACTTATCCTGTAATTGTCTCAGTACTTTGAGAATGGCCACCGGAGTGGCTGTAATGTCAATAGACTTTTACCTATTTATCTGTGGTATCAGTAGAATATGAGGATTCACGTTATTTCCTTAATTTTTTTCGCAAATTCTTATTTGAACATAACTTCACACAGGACAACATATAAATACCTCATCGGGCTCAGCTACTAGATATAGATACTTCATTGGCAGCATATTCAGTAATAATTTTCTCGCATAGCAAACATGACTGATTTTATAAACATGCAGACCAATCCACATAATCATCCAGATCCGATCTTGCTTCTCAAGCAACTTTCTTTCTTTCATGTCTTCTCAGAAATAAACACTTCAGACTACTCGGGTTCAAAAAACATATACTTCATTCCTCCATAGATGGACGTTCGCGGCGATCATAGCGAGCAAACGTGGAATGAACTATTTGCACCCTATAAGATGACATCTTGATGTTTTTTTTGACGATTTATGCGTACCAGCAAGACTGGCACTAAGCCCGTCAGATAGAAGATATCTTGCAGATGGATAGGGCGGTCTGGTACAATTTCGTTGCCAGCCCGCACACCTGACTTGAATCCACTCGATTTGTTTACTGGGAAGTGGTGAAAGAAAAAGTTTACTTAAAGTCAATCGAGAATTTAGCCCAGCTACCGGACAGAATAACGGAAGTAGCTGAATTTACTAATTACGGGAGATCCGCCCGTCTGATAACTCGATCATTTTTAAATTGTCTAAAAAAAAAATGGAATTTGTAGTAATGCGAACTAAAAGATTATCACAGCGAGTAGATTTTTGCTTTTTCTTTATGGCCTATAATTTGAAAAGTACTTAGATTTTTTATATTTTTCTGATAACTGTTACGACTTGGCCTATCCCCCGTTTCCGGGTTGACATAGACTTCTGGGACACCCCGTATAGATAAAATCATTTAACTTTTTAACAATAACTCACTTTGACTCTGTCGTAATAATACTATTTATTTCGAAAAAATCCACAATTTTGAACTCAATTTTCTTAGACTTTCATTTTTACACTTGCCCTTTAACCTAAGTATGGCAGTAGAGCTCTACAACAGTACTGATCGCTTCATCATCGTAGATTAATACTACAAATTCACAAAATTTAACCAGCACCCGTAAAAACGTTTCAGTACCGCTAGGAATATTATTGAAAATTATTACATACATTCTGTAATTCAAATAAAGTACCTGATACTGCAGCAAGTAGTTGAGTCAATGTCCCGCTGAATAATCCACCGTGATCATTTTTATCACCACTACTCTGCATGGTCGCTAAATGAGCCGAGATCTAGTGTAATACTGAGTTGCTTCTGATATCGAATTATACTTTGGGTCCAGTCCGAAGACATCACTTTGTTTATTCACTATGTAGTCCGCCCCTGGAGTACGATCCGCGCACCAAGTTGAAAGACGAGAATCCCCACCTCCTCGCCCCGCCCTGGCCACTCGCGTTGAATCATTCGCTTTTTGGTGCGCGATCCGTGCAGTCGCCCGGCCTGCTTCAGTTCAGAAAACGCGTGCGATTTCTCTTTTCGGTACATAGTGCTCAGTGAGTAGGTAGGTAAGTTCACAACAAGGCTATTCTTTTTGATACCACTTAGCAGTCTGTTACATAATTGATTGGCGTATTCAACCAGATTGAATACGTTAACCAATGGTTATACTTGTTTAACAGAAACCATGGAAAAATCAGGAATTTCGGAGGCCAATTCACCCAGCTCCTTGAGAGACATGATTCGGGCCATTTTACAGGAGGAGCTCGAGGCAAGGTCAGGTGGTTATCGTTCTCGCACTAATTCGAGAAGTTTATCCCGAAAGAGTCGACACAGCAGATCCATGTCTCGTACCAATTCACCTCATCATTTTAGACGCTCCCGCTCTCGCATCAGCCGTAGGCGTTCAAGGTCACGTTCTAGGAGTAGTAACAGTCGCAGTCGATCACCGAGCGTGTCGAGGCGACGTAGAGAGAGACGGGAATATTTGCGTCAAGAGAAAAACTCAGGCAGCCCATCTGATAAGGTACAGCGTCAGGTAGACTCGGCTGGCCGTTCTCCGTGCGAGGCGGAAGCTCAGATTCTGACAGGGCCGGACTTGGGAACGGTACCAACTGAGAAAAATGATATGGAGGATGTTTTGATGCTTAGTGAAGGTGAGTGTCTCCCATTATCGGAAGACATATTAAATATCCTGGGTGTAGATCCTAAAAAAGCCAATAGGTCTAACTTCCAACTACACGGTGCCTTAGCTTCTCGATGGTCCCACATTTTGGCCAACGGACTTTCCACCGAGGACACCACCATCGTTAGAGAAAAACACATTGTGCCTTCTAACTGTGCCTCTTTACACCCTCCGAAGATAAACCCCGAAGTGAAAGCCATTCTCTCTTCTACTCATTTAACGAGAGATGCCACCCATTCCGGGTACCAATTGAACATTGGTACCGGACTGACCGCCATGGGGAAAGCTTTTAACGTCATTTTGGAAGAAGAAACCCAGATTCCCAAGGATATCAAGGAAAAGATTTTATCGAATTTGACAGATTCTGCGCGAATCTTGGCGGCACTCTTTCACGACATCTCTAAAACTAGAAAGTACCTGATCAGCCCAGTACTCAACAAATCAGTTAAAGAACTGACTGAAAACACCTTACCAGGGGAGTTCTTATTCGGGCCAGATTTAGGTGAGCGGGCGAAAAATTTGAAATCTTTGGAGAAGGCCGGACAGGACCTACGTTTGTCCTCTATCCCCTCACGCAGTAGCTCTCAAGTGACTCGGTCTTTCAGTAATCCTGAAAGAAGAGGGGGGGGAGGCAACTCGTCAAAGAATGTAGGCGCTTTAAACAGGTATCGCCCGTCTTACCGCAAGAGGGAGGTGAGGCAGCACAAGGGCAATTCCTCAAAACAGTTTGCTCCGAACAGACAACAGCAGTCCAGAAAACGTTGAAGGTAAAACAAGTTCTATTTGCTGGTCGGCTACAATTTTACCTCAACTCTTGGTCAAAACTAACTTCAAATCCGATAGTCTTATCCTGGATTCAAGGTTACCGGATTCCCTTTAAATGCACACCTCCATTACGTCAACCTTTGGGCACAAATAATTTTTCTTCGACAGAAACATCGCTAGTTCGAGTAGCTATACGCGACTTGCAGAAGTCCGGGGCCATAATCAAATCTGAGTCAAGGCCCGATCAATTTATCTCTCCATATTTTCTTGCAGATAAATCCAACGGGGGAAAAAAGATTTATATTAAACCTGAAACAGTTAAATGAATATGTGGAATGCCCGCATTTCAAAATGGAGGACCTTCGTACGGCTATAAAATTGACTCATAAAAACGTGTACATGTGCACAATCGACTTGAGAGATGCGTATTTTTTAGTACCTGTCCACAGCGACCATCAACAATTTCTAAAATTCTACTTTGATGGCCAATTGTATCAATTCACTTGCCTACCGTTTGGGTTATGTACAGCTCCGTTATGTTTCACAAAGCTTATGAAGCCAGTCGTCTCTTTTCTCCGCAATTTAGGCATCTCTACAGTCAATTATCTAGACGATTTTCTAATCTTTGGAGTTTCCTATGAATCCTGCCTTAATAATGTTAGCACAACCATTCGGTTTTTAAGCTCATTGGGTCTTATCATCAATAACAGCAAAAGCATTCTGGTACCCACTACTCGTATAAGATTCCTCGGCTTTCTGATAGATAGTGTTAATTTAACAATTGAACTTCCTGCCGAAAAGAAAAATCACATCCTCAGGTTAGCCTCATATTATTTGAACCAATCGAGATGTAGAATTCGCGACTGGGCAAGGTTCATTGGCACCTTGGTGTCGGCTTGTCCTGGTGTGAAATACGGGTTTCTTTATTGCAAATCTCTAGAAAGGGAAAAATTCTTAGCTTTAGAGAAAAACAATGGAAATTATAACGCAAGTATGGCTATTCCTGAAAACATAAAGAGCGATATTTCATGGTGGAAAGATCACATTTCAACAGCTTTCAATGACATAAGGTATGATTCCTTTCATATCACCATCTTTACCGACGCATCGCTAACAGGATGGGGGGCTTGCTCTGGCCAGGATAGAACCCACGGTTTCTGGTCCGACTCCCAAAAACTATTGCATATAAATAATTTGGAATTATGGGCTATATTTTACGGCATCCAGTGTTATGCAAAACTTTTAAAAAAAATTGCAATATCCTAATTCGATGCGACAATACAACAGCCGTTTCTTACATTAACAGAATGGGGAGTGTTCGGTTTCCAGAGCTATGTTCTCTGGCTAAACAAATTTGGCAATGGTGTGAGGAAAGAAATCTCTGGCTTTTTGCATCATACATCCCATCTAAAGATAACGCTATAGCAGACGATGAGTCCAGGAGCTTGAATTTTGAAACGGAATGGTCATTATCTCAAACTGCCTTCGACCATTTAACCGACATCTTCGGAAAACCAGAGATCGATCTTTTTGCCTCTCATACCAATGCGAAATGCGAGGTATACGCTTCCTGGCATAGAGATCCAGGATCTACATATATCGATGCGTTTACAATTCGCTGGAACAGTTTTTATTTTTATGCATTCCCCCCTTTTACCTTAATTCTCCGAGTTTTACAAAAAATAATTCAGGATAAGGCTGTCGGAATTTTGGTGGTTCCTTGGTGGCCTTCACAACCTTGGTACCCACTTTTCCGTCAGTTATTGATCGACCAAGAAATTCATTTTCCCCCTTCACCTGATTTACTATCTTGTGCGGTTTCCAGGTCACATCCGCTGTCGAAAACCCTTACCCTGGTAGCAGCGAAGTTATCAGGCAAGCGTTTTTGAGTAGAGAGGTGCCGGAATCTGCTATTTCTACAATCATCGCCTCAGTCTCCAGATCCACATTGCAGCAATATAACAGCTCCTACAAATTGTGGTGGGAATTTTGCTTTAGTAATGACATTTCGATCTTTAAACCCACAATCAAAGACGTGGTGTCATTCTTGCAAGAGTTGACAAAGAAGAAAAACCTCACGTCTGGCACTTTTAATTCTCATACATCTGCTCTTTCACTAATTTGCTCAACTGATTTAGCATCCAATCCTATAATTAGACGCTTCAAAAAAGGCATTCATCGTTTACGGCCTTCTCGGCCAAAATATTCGGCCACCTGGGATCCTATACCTCTCCTAAGTTATCTAGAAAAGTTACCATCTCCACTTAGCCTCCAAAGTCTGTCACAAAAATTGACAACGTTATTAGCTCTAATAACAGGAGAAAGACTCCAGACAATTTCTCTTATTCGTCTTTCACATACCTCCCATGGTCCCAGCGAAACTACCATTAATATTTCAGACCCAATTAAAACCAGTCGAATTGGGAAACCTCAACCAACCTTGCATATACCGGTTTTTCAACAAAACCCTTTCCTGTGCGTAGCCACCATCCTGAAGGAATATATTGACAGAACAGCTAGCTTGAGAGAACCCGACAACGATTTTCTATTCGTGACATATAAAAAACCACATACCAGGGCGTCCAAAGACACTTTAAGCAGATGGGTAAAACAGACTCTTGCATCGGCGGGTGTCAACACAACACTTTTTACGCCCCATTCAGTCAGGCATGCGGCTACCTCAACGGCGTTAAGAAAAGGCGTTTCCGTAGATAGTATATGTAAAACAGTTGGTTGGACGCAACATTCCACATTTGCAAAGTTTTATAATCGTCCTTTACAAACCAACAATGAGTTTGCAAATGCCATTTTGGACATAAATGCCTGATTAGTTAGAACAGTTTAAGAGTTTGTGACGTACTTTAGGTACTCTAGTTGTTTTTTGAAAAAATATTACTATTAGGGTAAATGTTAAAAATTGACCCCTTGTTTTTTGCTTTTGTTTATGAGAATGCAGAATATATGTTTTTGCCTTTTTGTGTTTGTATACTTGTATTTTTTATATCATCAACTCGCTCGCAACTCTATCTCATCTTTAAACATCTACATAGTGAATAAACAAAGTGATGTCTTCGGACTGGACCCAAAGTATAATTGATCGATCAAACGAACTTACCTGAAGTGAAGTTCGATCGTAATTATACGAGGGTCCAGTCCGAAGACATCACCCCCACCCTATATGCAACCCTCCCAAGTTGCGAGCAAGTACCATTTCTTTAAACAAATGATTCAACGCGAGTGGCCAGGGCGCGGCGAGGAGGTGGGGATTCTCGTCTTTCAACTTGGTGCGCGGATCGTACTCCAGGGGCGGACTACATAGTGAATAAACAAAGTGATGTCTTCGGACTGGACCCTCGTATAATTACGATCGAACTTCACTT